GGGGGGGGGGGGCATGGATGTGGTAATTTCTGTTTTACAGGTTCACCTGGAAAATTGGGCCTTGGGGCCAGCAGGGGGCTCTGTCCACAGCATCTTCTGTTCCTTAACGGACTGGTGACCTGAGAACCAGGGATGCTGTGGCCAAGACCTACTACCCAGAAGGTTAGGTTGGGAATGTTCTGAAAGGGAGAGCCATGTCCTGTTTCTGACTTGGTGATCTAAAGGCCTCAGGGGGGCCCTGAGGAGACTTGGGGAAGGAGGGCCCAGGGCTGTGGTCTCCTGAGGGTTTGAAACTTTGCCATTGGAGACGGCAAAGCCATGGAGCCCCTGTGGTGGGCAGCAGTGTTGCTGGGCAAGGAGAATTTCTTGGGCCTCCCTGACTGCAGGGAAGCCTTGCCTAGTGGGGATCATATGGAGCAGGGAGTCCTGGCTAGCTCTGTGACCTCAGGCAAATCACCAAATCTTTCAGGCCCTTAATATAATTGGGAAGGTGACCTGCATGACCTGTCCCTCCGAGCTCTGACGTCCTATTGTGTTCTGCTTGCCAAGCCCTTTCATGGGAATGACTTTGATCTCTTCAGTGTCATTGTGGCCTTGACTGTTGCATGCTGCCTCTATGGAGCCCATCCTGTGAGGAGCCTTTGAGCATGACAGTGGGAGAAAACTGAAGCTGGGCCCACCTGCCTGGGAGCCAGGGCGGTAGGAGGCTCAGGGAACCTGTGAGGCGGGAAGCAAATAAGCCAACTGGGTTGTTTCATGATGTGAGTCTGGTGCTTATTATAACTCCTGTTGGGTACTGAGCTCTCACCCTGTACTTTTCACACATGAGCTCATTTAATCCTCGTGTCCTGAGGAAGTGGAACTACTACTGTCCCCATTTTACAGGTGTGGGAAACAAGTATCAAAAGTCATACACTTGGAAGTGGCAGTTAGGGGTTGGCACCAGGTCTATCTGTTCCAGAGCCCATGGCCTTAACAACTGTGTTATTGGCCTCTCTTGGGGCAGGTTCTTCATCACACAGATTAAAAATTCAGAGTGAAGAGGCTGAGACGAATGGCCATTTTTCCAGTGTTCAGTTACCACTGGCATGTGAACTGAGCCAAGTGGGCTTGGATGTGTCTCCTGTCAGTGACAGAATGATTGAGGCTTTATCTGCCTAGGACGTGTTTCTGAAAGGCTAGGCAGTGTGTCCAAGCTTGCACATGCCAGAGCGCTCGAGTTCTGCTCACAGGCAGGGTATCTGTGGAGGAAGAACTCTTGAAAGGACTGAGAGTGGGATCAGTTTGGGGAAGACAGTCTGCTTCCCAGAGCAGGCCAAGTCTCCACACTGCCACTAGCAGCACTCCGTCTGATTCTCACATCAGGTAACAGACTCTTCATGTCAAGACCTCTCCTGAATATCATCTGGGCTCCCCAAAGAAAATTCCCAATTTGTCATTTAAGAAAAGAAATTTAGTGTCCTGGCTGGTGTGCTCAGTGGTTGAGCATCGCCCCAAACACCAAAGGGTCATGGGTTTGATTTCCCATCAAGGGCATGTACCTGGGTTGCAGGTTCAGTCCTCAGCCCTGGTCAGGGCACATGTGGGAGGCAACCAATCCATGTGTGTCTGCTCCTCCCCACACTGTCTTCCCCTCCCCCCTCCCACTCTCTCTCTAAAAATCAATAGGGAAAAAAATATCCTTGGGTGAGGATTTACAAAAGAAAGAAAGAAAGAAATTTAGTTTACTTATTTTCGTTTTTTTCTTCCCTCTGATTGTAGATGGAGGATACCAGGCTTTCTGCCTCGGAGGAGCTGTCTCTAACTGCAACTGTTCCCAGAGCCATGGCTCTTAGCTCAGGACATGATGCTGATACTGAAGATGACCCATCCCCAGTTGAGTCACCACGGGTGCTGGACCTCAGCCAACAGCCTCACATCTCAGGTTTCCCTTTCTCGTCAAAGTGGAGGTCCATGGTGAGCCCAGGGGCCACTGCTCCTCCATTTTCCAGCTGCAGTGTCTCTGCCTCATCCCCTAGCAGCAGTTTCCAGGGTCAACAAGAGAAGGCAGAGCCTCAAAGTTCCTCCCTTGCCAAAGTCTCCTCCTTGGAGCTGGTTGGCCCCCATGTGGCCCCTTCTGTGGTGGGACCAGGGCCTCCGCTCCAGTGGTCTCCACAGCCTATGTCCTCTGGGGATGATGCTCCTGGGCTTGGCAGAAGGCACCTATCCTTCCAAGCTGAGTACTGGGCTTGCGTGCTGCCAGATTCCCTGCCGCCTTCCCCTGACCGCCGCTCCCCCCTGTGGAACCCAAATAAAGAGTATGAAGACCTGCTGGACTATACTTACCCACTTAGGCCCAGGCCTCGGCTCCCAAAGCACCTTGACAGCCACGTGCTGGCTGACCCTGTCCTGCAAGACTCAGGTGTAGACCTGGATAGCTTTTCTATCTCCCCAGCAAGTACTTTGAAGTCACCCACTAATGTCTCCCACAGTTGCCCACCAGTGGAGGCCACTGCCCTGCCATTTTCTGGGCCCAGAGAGCCAAACCTTAAATGGTGGCACTCTGGAGTACCCCAGGAGCAGAGTAGCCCTGGGTTGCCATCTTGTAGTCAGCTCACATCTACTCCCAGAGCTGCAGGCAGTAAAGACACTCCTTGCGAAAGTAAAGAGCCAGCCCTGAGGGGCATGAAAGACTGGCGGACCATGGGCAAGCACCTTGAGGTGGGCCGTCCTCAGCTGAGGACATGGGCTAGAGGATGGCCCTCAACCAGACCAGAGAGAGAGAAGGGGGCTAGCCAAGGCATCCGGCGCCCTGCCTGCATGGAATCTGGGTGGAAACCAGAAGAGTTGGAAAGTGACGATGAATATCTTGCCCTGCCCACTCGGCTGACACAGGTTTCTAGCTTGGTTTCGTATCTAGGTTCTGTTCCCACTTTGGTGACCCTGCCCACTGGGGCTGCTGAAGGGCAGAGCTCCCTGGATGTGTCGGACAGTGATGGGCCCACTTCCTTCCCATCGGACTCCAGCCAAAGCCAGCTTCCTTCTGGGGCCGCCCTTAGAGGGTCTGGGGGGCTTGAGGGGCAGAACCACTGTTTGCTGCGCTCCTGTCTCCGTGCAAGGGACTCTGCGGGGGACAGCAGTCTGGTGAGCAGCCAGGCACTGGGGGTCTCCTCTGGAGCTCTGAGAACACGCTCCTCCTTGCCAGTTATTTTGGACCGGCAGGCATTCTCGGACTCAGATCCTAAAGGGCAGCCTCCCAGGAGAGGAAGAGAGCAAGGAAAAGAATCCCTCGTGCAGTGCGTGAAGGTAAACTTAACATTTAAGAGGCTTACGTAACGGTGTCTCATTTCCTCCCCCAGTCCACTAATAAAACAGTAACATTGAGTATGTTTCCTATGCCAGGCACTGTACTGTACCTTATCCTGTTTAGTCTTCACAACCCTTTACCCGATAAGGACTGTTCTCATTTCACAGAGAAAATGGCAGTGAGGGGTTAGGCACCCTGCCCACTTACATTTAGCAAGGGTTGGAGCCTGAGCTCTTAATGATTACCCCAGGCTGCTTCCCAAGGCTCTTGACCTTGAAGATTAAGAGGTATACTCTGCACAAGGGTCTGTGCTCAGGTACCTTTAGGAAACACTGGGCTAAACAAAAGTGGTTTGTTGACTGTGGGACCTCTCAGAGCTTCAGCTTCATAGTGGTGTAACTGTAGGATTGGGGGCTATTAGATGTACCATTTTCTAGACTTGGCCACTGAACCATCTCTGATGGACCACCCAAGAATATCTGGAGATATAATTAAAACTACAGGGAACAGTGTTGTCAGCCTCAGGCTGATCCGAATTTGAGTCACAGCACTGCTGTTTTTGTAATTTAGTTCAGTCTCTTGAGTTCATTTGTTTTCTAAAATCAGGTATGCCACTTCAGGTTGTTGTGTAGAATAAGTTAAATAATTCCTGCTGAGGGCTTCGTGCAGTCCCTGACACAGGTATGTTCAGAAATGTGGACTCTGCATGTACACTGGGAGAGCCCCAGGTGAACACACTGCACCTACACTGCAGCAGGGTGGCCAGCCGGAGGGCCATATACCGATGAGCTGATGCCACAGGTGGTTCCTAGCACTTGAGGGCTTTAACCTACTTGTGATGTCCTGTGCATGATTTCATTTGTACTGCAAAGCAGGTAGGACAGATGTTAGCATGTACCTTCGTGATAAAAGATTGAGAAATGGTGAGGTAAAGTACTTGGCTCACAGCCTCCCTCCCCAGGGCAAGTGACTGGCAGGAGTCTAGGGGCCCTGCTTTATGAGCAGCATGGAAGCAGAACAGGGACATGCAGATTTAATTCAGTTGTCAGCCGTACATTCAGGTTAGTCATGATTAGTCATTTGATGTCCACATTTTTCCCAGGAGCAGTCTGATAGTTAGCAGTGGTACCCCAAGAATTGATTTCTGTGGCAGGGTGCCTCGTCTGGGCTGCTCCCTGTCATTGCCCTCACCTTCTCTGCTCTGTTCCTATGCAGGGCTGGCTTTTCTCAGTCTGTCGTTTTTATGTCATATCAGGCTGAGGGGAGATAGAACCAAGGTGGGGCATTTCCTGTTGCCCTGGCAGAGTCTGGAGTCATGGGGTGGGAATAGGCAGGGGAGGACAGAGGAAACTAAAGCCTCAAGTGAAGGAATGCTCTGGAACGGTGCACAGTCCATCTCTCGGAATCCCCTGGATATTTTTAGCCTTTTGAAAATGTAAACAGCATGTGTCTTTTATTTGTCTGCACAGACATTTTGCTGTCAGCTGGATGAGCTGATCCACTGGCTGTACAACATAGCAGATGTGACCAACCACTTGACTCCACCCAAGTCCAGTCTCACAAGTCTCAAGTCTTCTCTGCAGCTTTACCGGGTAATACAAGAGAGGGGCTAAACCTGATGCTCAGTATATTGTGGCTCAGTTGACTTTTACCTGAAATTTTATCATAGGTCTTTTTCAAATCCTTAATGCTGAAAAACTAAAATATATCAATTATTTCCTAGGCCAAATAGTTTGGAGAAAATACATAATATTTATCCTCAATCAAAAATACTTAAGGGGAATTTCCAATGTAATTTTCCAAATGTCTCAGGGATTGATAAGCATATATCTGCACTATTATGGAGTCACTAGGTACATATGGCTATTTAAATAAAATTAAAGATCCAGATTTCTCAGTTGCACAAGCCACATTCCAAGTGTTCAATCACACATGCATCTAGTGGCTGCAGTGCAGATAGAGCATTTCCATTACCACAGAGTTCTTTGGATAGTACTGATTGCTCATCAGGTGTTTGAGCTGAAATTATACTGACTCCAGAATATATGCAGGGCATTTTGATGGTATTTAAACAAAAATATGACTCAAATTTGCTACTCAGTGTTTTGCTTTTGGGGGTTTTTTCTTCTTTTACAAAAAATTGGTTTTTTCAATTTTAAAAATCTATTTGTGGTTCTGATTACAACTTTGAATCAAATATACTTAGGTGACATTTTGTGCCTGCTGTTCTGGCATAATCATCAGTAGGTCCCTCTTCATTCCCAGAAGTGTTCTGAATTGGATGATAAATTATACAGTTACTCTAAACATAACATTAACCTTGACTGAACTACCCATGGCTTCTAGCATGTCTGGTTGGCCAAACCTTTATAACCTCTAATGAAGGAGCAGGGGTATTTGTGGTCTGAGCTTGGTGCTAGTCCAGAAAGGGTTTTTCTCGGACAGGTCTTTGAATTTCTCCCATGTTATAACCTGACCAAGTGCCTTCAGCAAAAGAGGGCTTGATTTACTGAGCCAGGGGCCACACCAGGCTGGGCTGAGCCTAGAGCTCCCACCACACCCAGGCAGGATGGAGGGCCTTTGTTTTCCAACTTGGAGCCAAGTAAAATTTAAGGGAGGAGCCTGGCGTGGGTGGGCCAGCTGTCCTACACTAGTGGGAATGCTATTTCCTGCTGGGTGGAGAGTTCCTTGCCCAGAGTATGCTGAGGAAGGCTGAGTACGAGGGTCCTCCATGTGCTGGGCCCACCCACAGGAAGCCCAGGGGCAGTACCAAA